AGAGAGCATTCAGAGAATAAGAAGAAATGGGTTAAGATCGATTTTGCAGAGGATGAAGACGAGAAATCAGTTTGCAGGTGACTGGAATCTATTGGAGGATGAAGATGAAGAAGATGACATATCATCAAAAAAGAAAGTCCAAATAATCATCTTTTTAAGTTGTGTTCGCCATGTCATAAAAAAAAATATAAAAAATGCCATGTGGCCGAGTTAACGGCTCAAATTGACAGAAGGATTAACGGAGTGCATTTTGTATAGTTGAGAGATCAAAAAAGTGCAAAAAATTGTTAATGGACCAAAAATGTGCAACTCACTAAAGTTGAGGGACCAAATTTAGCATTTAACCTTTTTAAAAAAAATAAAAAATACCATTAATTTAGAATAAAAAAGTATTTTTTAAATTAAATTACAAATTAAAAATTTAGTTTAACCACTTAGATTACTAAAATATTTTTAATAAAATAATTTTTATAGTTGTTCATTAAAAATAACTTAATCATTTTAGTATTAAAATTATATTTTTAATGTGTAGTTTATCCATAAAAAAAATACAATCTAAATTAAAATACATAAAACTCAATTTAAAAACAAAAAAAAATGATATCCTTAAATAAAAAGGTTAAAATTTTAATTTGGTCCCTGAACTATTGTATAGACTCCTAATTTGGTTCTTAAACAAAAAAAATCTTTGATTTGGTCTTTAAACTATTGTATAAACCCTTGATTTGATCCTTACTGTTTACCAATTTGTCCCAAATTAGTCCTTTGGTACAATTAAAAGCTGACCTGTCTAGTATTTAATGATAACAAATAATAACTTAACGATAAAAAACAATAACTTAATGATCACGTGTCACGATAATAACAAGATACGTCAACTATTTTTGTATAGAATGATTAATTTGGAGTAAATTGGTAAATAGTAAGGACCAAATCGGGGATCTGTACAATAGTTTAGAGACCAAATTAAGGATTTTTTTAGTTTAAAGACCAAATCAGAGTTCTATATAATAGTTTAGGAATCAAATTGGAGATTTAACCAATAAAAAATAATAAACTTTATATCCTTATGTGACCATTTTCTGGATAAAGATACGTACTTTTTTCCAATACAGCGTAGAAAAGAAGCTACGTTTCGGGTACGAGTCGCAGGTATAAAAGGAGGCCGGGAAGTCGCAGCCGCTGGTTTTTAGAATACTGGAAAGTAATTCCGCTTTTCGTGCCATATCTCCGAGTATACACTCCGCTTCGCACCGCTTAGCTATCTCGCTCTCGCCTTCTCTATCTTCGGCTTTTCCTCAGTCAGGTTTGATTTTGATTCAATCTAGCAGGATCGGCTTTCCTTTTTCTCCTATTTCCTTTCGAATTCTGATTTGATTTTGAGATTTTGATTATTGAAATTCATCTTGAAAAGTACTTCTTTTAGGTTTCTTCTTTCTGAATAGGTTGAGTTGTGCTGAAATTTTGACGATCTATTTCTGTGTGAAGGGAATCACCTAACGATTATAATCTGTTTCCCTGGAAAATCCAAGAAAACTGTGGAATACTGCTCGGAAAATGAATTAAATTCAGATTTTATTGAGAATTTTATGTTATATTGTACCATGAGATTGTTCGAAACTGATTTTATTAAGAGAATGGTTTTTATAGTGTAATTGAAGCTGTGCATGAAATTCTAGAATCTTGTTATTGAAAAAATTCAAGAAATCATAGTTATTTCTTGTTGGGAGGATCTATGATCAATCTTGTAAAATTTGTCGCAGAACTGCTTGACTATACGTCCAAATTTAGTTAAATATATTGATGAGCTATACGCTAATCCCTTTTTTACAATATTTGACATATAAAAGGAATTTAGGCATCTGATTCAGTTTTCTCCCTTTTTTTTCTCTGGAAATGTGCCAAGCCAAGCAATTAACAGATGACATTATGTTCCTTTCAGAAGAAAATGGAGTTTGTTTTTTGCAATTGTGAAATGTTGAGTAAAGGGCCTTCTAATGGTTGAACTATTGAGTTATTATTGAGGCTATTTTACATTAGAAAAGAGCATGACCTCCTTTAATAAATGACTTTTATTTGGGAAAGAGAAGCCGATGTAGTTATCATTGAGATTACCAGGATCCTAATTTTTTGTCCTTGTGATCCTCTATGAAGAGGAGTGTATGTTTGTATTCAACACTAATAACTAATTAGGCTTTTCTTTCTTTAGGAACAATGATTCGGCTGTTCAAAGTAAAGGAAAAGCAGAAAGAAATGGCTGAAAATGCCAATGGTGGGCCACCCGTCAGAAAGCAAACTGCTGGGGAGTTGCGTCTTCATAAAGGTTGTTTGTCATATTTAGTAATTGAGTTCTTGAAGATCCTTCAGTTTGATAACTAATAGATTTTTTCATTTCATCATGTTTCACTTTTTATTTTCATTTTGTTCTGAGTTACTTAGCTTTAGGGTGCAGAAGGAGAGGAAGCGTTGCTTGCGGTTGGCCTGTTGTTTCATGGGAGTCTGCTGGTTGACCTTATTTTGGGTTTAAGATGATTAGCAATTTGTTTGGGATTTAGTTGACACAATCCCTCCCACCCCACCCCCCTTCCTTCTCCCTTTTGAAAGAGTGAGGACACAAGGAACGGTGGGCATTCTGCTTACCCATATTTCAAAGAAATTTGTGCAATCAGTCTGTGATACCATATTCCTTGTGTCAAATTCCTGGGCCAGTTCTTGCTGACAAACTAAGTATTAATATAATTTTATTTACTTCTCTCTCTATGGATTTAATTCTTCATTGCAAATGCCTATCCTATGATGATTGTCAAGTTCATTTCTTAATGCCTTCTGGCTGCCATACAACTATATTCCAGTTCCATAATCATCATCTTCCTTGGAATTACAACTGCAGTCTGCTTTAATTTGTCCTCCTTACAAATTACTTGGCAATCAGGTTCATTGTGGACTTGAATATTATGGGATCTTTTGTAGTGGTTTTGAGTTGTCCTCTTAGGAGGCACTCTTAGTTTATCAAACCCTTTTAATTCACATGATTCTGAAATCATATTTGGCCATTTACTTGCAGATATCTCTGAGTTGAACCTTCCTAAATCTTGTACCATATCATTTCCTAATGGCAAGGATGATTTGATGAATTTTGAGGTTTCAATACGGCCTGATGAAGGATATTATGCGTAAGGAATTCTTTTCATGCCTCTTATCACTGCATGGTTTTTTTTGTCCTTCGAGAAAATTTACTTGGTTGAATTTTCTGTTTGTTGGGAGAAGGAAATTAGGTTAATTTTTTATTACAGTATTGTCTGCCTTTCTTTCAATTACTGATTATGAAAATTAACTGGATACATGTTTGATTACTGGTTAAAGTGGTGGTACATTTTTGTTCTCCTTCCAAGTTTCCCCCATTTATCCACACGAGGCACCAAAGGTTAAATGCAAGACCAAGGTAAAGCAGTTGTTCCTGTGTACCTCTGTTTGTTATAGATTGTGGCCATTGACGCTTAAATCTAAATTCCAGGTCTACCATCCTAATATTGACTTGGAAGGAAATGTCTGCCTCAACATATTAAGAGAAGATTGGAAACCTGTGCTCAATATAAACACCATTATCTATGGTTTATATCATCTTTTCACGGTAAAAACTTAATTGATATGTCAATGAATTCCATTATTGTTCTGGGCATCTGATCTGGATCTTTCTTGTTTTGTTTGCAGGAACCGAATTATGAGGATCCCCTGAATCATGATGCTGCTGCAGTGTTGAGGGATAACCCAAAGCTGTTTGAGTCTAATGTGAGAAGGGCTATGGCTGGAGGGTATGTGGGGAACACCCTTTTCCCACGTTGCATTTGACTTTTGCTCTGTAGCTCAAAGTGCCAATGCAAATATGTAAGCAATGCTGGAATTCCTATGGGCTGTATAATTGACTTGAAATTGCTTTGTCATCCCTTTTAATTTTCTGGGTGAAGCTGGTGGAAGTAATTCCTAAGAAAACAGCCACAAACTGAAATCAAACCCCACTTTGTTTCACTCTATTGTTTGTAATGCCATTTGTGTTGCTGTCTCATATCCATGCTTTCATCTAACCTGTGATCTGATCTAAATTACCAGCATTAGAGGGTTGAGGTTATGCATGATTGGGATTATAGTTCCAGAATCTCAATCTACAAGCGTAAGGTGCCAGCAGGAGTCCACCCAGGAAATCTTCACTTAAAAACCAAAAATTTTAAATTTTAATGCAGAAAAGTGAAGTATAGTCTGCCCTACATTTTTATTCTAATGTTAAAAAATGTACTAAATTCGAAGGTAGACTAGAAGTAGTATTTACATAGAAAAAAGGCGGCTCAGATCATCTCTTCCTCTTTCGTCCTCACCATCCGAGCATTCTCGCGGTCTCGCCTAAAAATCTTGTATAATGGTGTGTAGAACAAACTACACAAACCAAAGGGAACTGCCATCATTGAAAGAAGGCCTCTAGACAATGCCAAAGCCTCGCGAGGAGAACTTTTATTTGAAGCTATAGATGTTGTATCATAACCAAATAATCTCTCTGAAAGAATCCCTACCAATGGAGCAGCAAAAGAAGAGAACGATCCTTCAAAAGCACGATCAAATGCATAGATCATTGTTCGGTGTTTAGCAGGTACCACCTCAGCAAACATGGGGCCGTTTGCAGCAGTAGCATTCCAACTGATGGTTAAGCCCATCAAGAAGAAAGTGACTGCAAAGGTGGAGTAGCTGCTTACTGATTGTGGGATCACTTTAAGGAGGAACCATGAGAATGGGATGCCCATGAAGGCACTGAACTGTGCGCACATTATACGGCCAGAATGGGGGTAAAAATGCGATAACCTATCTGCGATTAACCCGCCAAGAAATGACCCCATTGCACATCCAATGGCAAAAAGACCAAGGAGAGCAGCCGTGGATTCATGATCAAAACCTGATAAAAAGACCAAAAGACATCAGACACCAGGCAAAGTTTATGTATTTTCCAACTGTAAAACTTAATATTATGTTAGAATTGGCATTTCTACTTACCAATAAGTTCAAGCCAAAAGGTAAAGAACACCATTGCAGTCCATGGAAACGAACCGACAATACCCTGCAGTACAATGATCTGAAATGTTGGCACTTTTATAACAGCTTTGGTGGCTGTCCAAGACTCAAGCCAAACTGATGATGCACTAGCATTCACTGCACTTCCCTTTTCAACTAACTCATCCCTTAAGAGGTGAGAAGAAAAAGGCTGAGTTAGCAAGAAAATCTAACAGAAAGTAAGGAAATGATAATTGATTTACATTAACTGGTGTTGTGAGGGAAGTCAATATCTAATGAACAACAAATAAACGGTACCTATCAAGATTTTGGCCAGATTCATGATTGATGCCAATTGTTTTCCTGGGATCAACAACAAATAAGAACACTAGGAACCCAATCAACGAACTCAGTGTTGCCATCAGAATGAAAGCACAGCGCCAACCAGGTATGCCTCCAAACTGGTGACCAGCCATTACTGTTGCTACAACACCACCTCCTATACCACCTAAAGAACCAACAAAGCTTAGAAACCCAAATCCAGCCCCCCTCACACCATCACTATAACTATCAGCAATAAAAGACTGTAGTGCAGGAATCACAATTGCCAATCCAAAGCCATTCACTGCTCTCCACAATGCAACCTGCATAAAATGCTGGCTCACACCCACTGCAGCAGTTGATAAGGCCCAGCACAAAGTCCCAATTGCAAGAACAGTAGGGCGGTCATGTTTGATTACCAGTACACCAGCCAAAGGTGATGACAGGCCTTGCACAAAATTTCTTATGAATGTGAGATACCCCAGATCAGATGGCCCAGCATTGAAAGCTTCACTGACTTCTTTGTAAACAGCAGGTAAAAGATTCTCATCAGCACGCTCCATAATAGCAGCCAAATTGATAAGTAGGATAGAAAGAGAGATTCCAAAAACCTTTCTAGTCCTGTCAAAATCAAAGTAATTAATGAACAGAAACCAAATTTTTCTAAACAGGAAATGAATACTGACTCATATACGTGCACGTGTGCTTCGTACATGATCATGCCATTCCTAGATACACAATGATACTTATCCTCAAGTTTAGAGAATAGTATTTTAGAATCTATATCCATGCTCATTTTAAGGTATTTCATATTATCAATAAAAAAAAAAACATCTGATTCATTTAAGTTTGCAAACAATAAGGAGTTTAAAAGTGTTTGAGCCTCGAGACTGAAATCAAAATTAGGAAAGAAAGCATGTGATCAAATGAATTCGATTTCAAATAGAATCATAATTTTCCAGAGTTCATTTATAGGTAGGTCTAAAACAAAGGTATATATATACAGTTTCAGCACTGGAGTGTAATCTTAAACCATGTAGCATCTCAACATAAACCAGTAATCGTGATATTAATAGCTGCTCCAAACTGTAACAGGAACATCTAAATTTCAGGAAAAAAAGCAACTACTAGACCATATTGATATCAAACAACTCGAGCAATACAATCAAACAGTGGCAATTAAATGCTTCTCATAAAAATAAAAATAGAAAATTTGATCTAAATGATGCTTAAAAATTGAAAAACTAAACAAAGATGGAGATATGGAACGTGACTGACCTCATGGTTTGAAGATACCTGTGCAACAGAGAATTAGATCGAAAAGCAGCACCCAGTATTTCCAGGAAAATGGGAATCCGGCTTATCTGGGGAAACCCCTTTTGCACAACTGAAATGAAACAATCCCAGCCAGTGCGGAAGTCACCGGGAATAATTAACCCCAAAAAGAAGATGGTCAACCCAGATGGATGATTTTGTATTTGTTGAGAGAAGACAGAAGAATTCTACAGTTGTGTGATGGAAGCTGGAATGGAGGTTAGTAGTTGGCAGCGATGGTGGATTCAGGACGATGAAGAAATCATCAATTCCTCGGATCTGGTTGGTTTAGGTTGGTGCCAGAATCTGGATTCAAACAGAGGATACGTGGGAACTGGGAACTCTGTTTCGAAGGTTTCTATATTTTTTTGTCTTTGTTTGACTTCCCATTTTTTTCTTTTCTTTTTGTTAGAGTTCTTACGTTTCTTACGTATGTTAATATTGCCCTTTCCTTTTTTATTTATTTTCCTTTGATCTATAAAAAAAATTAATTTTATTTTTCTTTGAAAAGGATATTTCTTTCTTACATAATTTCATTTAATAATGTTTCTAAGATACTTGTTGTTTAACTTTGTAGCCCTAGTTTTTT